CACACACACACACACACACAGGGGCTCAATAGGTTAAGACACTAAGCCTATGATCAGATGGTCATCGGTTCAAATCCCAGGGTAACAGTGTGATTTTGCTATCGGGCCCTAAAGTAAGGCCTTTTACTGACCCAAACTACTCCGGCGACTGTCTAACCTTACTCTCTCAAAAATATACATTACTTTGCATCTGGCAAATGAATATATCTATCTAGACAGGCATTGTGAAACACATACAGATATATACGTTACTGCTTGCACGGCTTTGGGGGGCAGGGGATTATTCAACCATACATTTTAGGTTTACCTTGTGAACTCGGCTTCCGTGACAGCTATCACACAGTAATACACTGACATTGCCTGCCATGGTGCTTCCAACATCTCATTAAAATGGTACAACTCCTTCACTTTAATTTAGTAGTGAATTTCACTAATGTAATCTTGCACGATTTGATGTCACAATGACCCATCAAAGTAAGTGACAACCCAATAATGCATGTGGAAACTATTACAGAAGTCCAACAGTTCTTCGCAGATTAGGTTTGTAATCAGGTCGAAGCTGTTTTTAGGCATTTTTCATTTCTTTATGAGACAGTCCACTGACTTTAAAAATGCTACAATTATCTCACTGTCATATGATACCGACGTGCGCACTCTCAATGATTACCACCTGGGGGCATTCACTCCCACAGTAATGAGGAACGTGGAGAGGCTGGGAAATATCAAGAGCATCAACCCAGCTTGCATATGGCCATAGCAGCCTGATAGAGGATGCTGCATCTCTCGCTCTCCTCACCACCCAGGACGATAAAATCCTGCCATCCAAGGCGGCAACTGGGTGTTTAATACTGTAACTGTGTCCAGACTGACTGAACACTTTATAGCCTCATCCACATGAACCCTCAACACTGCCACTCCCACAGCAGAATGCTGAGCCCACTGCCACTGTCACAGTTCACTCCAACTCCGACATTTGCTGATGACAGGGTCAGGCCTGACCATTAATTGCAAACACAACCCATGGGGAGGAAGTTGGCTTATTGACCAAGAGGTGCTGCAAAAACCTCAAACGTCAGCATGACAAAGGAACTGCTCATTCAGAGAGAAGAAGCCTGCACCATCAGCACTTGCTCCCATCTACATCAGCGGAGATGCTATGATCAGGGTCTCTGGGAGTCAATATCACCCACAACATCTCTTGGTCACACCATGCCTTAAGTTACCAGGAAAGCCCACCAGCACCATCAACTTCTGACAAGTACTTATGTTCTTCAACAACACCAGACTAAAACCAGGCTGTTCAAACTATTTCAAGGTTAAAACCAGGAGGATTTGCATCTGGTGACCTATAGAGTGACGTGGCCAGAAAACCAACTGAGCACTTCATTTTGGGTTCACTTGTGGGGGTTCATTTTTGACACCCACAAGAGTACCAGAAAACTTAAGGAGTCACTAATTATTAGCAAGCAAGGTAGGTATCAAAAGTCCTAGTTTCATTAACACGTACACACGCACACTCACTCGCACACGCACACTCACTCGCACACGCACACTCACTCGCACACGCACACTCACTCGCACACTCACTCGCACACGCACACTCACTCGCACACGCACACTCACTCGCACACGCACACTCACTCGCAAACACACTCGCACGGGTTCTCCACCTCCAGGGCAGATCTTACACATGTAAATGCAAAGCGCTCATCTGTTACAGCGGGTTACCTTCTGCTATTTATTATTTAACATCAGCTGCAGTATTTAGTGTCTACATGTGTTATTATGGTGGGTGAGAAACGTACAAGAACGAATGTCACGTGTACAACAAAAACAAAACCTCAAAACTCAAATATCAGCCAGACTAACAAGACTAACATAGCTTTCCTTACCAGGCCGATGCATTTTTTCAGAATTCCCCAAATACTGAAGTCGTTACGAGAGAACATAGGTGCTGGTAAAGTCGTCCTTTTGGGAAGAAATACACCATATTAGTTCTTATTCGAAGGTTAATCCCAAAACTACACGCATGCATGTGTAAGTGTGTCGAATGTGGTTTCACTAATATTCAGTGTGGGTGAAAAGCTTTGCTTAGGACTTTGGTCCAGGGAAACGTGGATGAGAATCGAACTGCGTGGTGGAGCAGGCGTGTCTCTGCGGCCCACAGAGGGCACGGCGGGAATCTGCGCATACCTGTGCCTCTTGATTCCGTTCTCCTGCAGAGGCGCGCCATTGTTCTTCGGATGCCCGTCGAACACGATGGCGTCCTTGAAGCTGGCTTCTGACGTGCCTTCGCAGGACTCATCGGAGTCCAAGCCTGCGGCGGGCACATAAGATGGGTGTTTGCAGGAGGCCCTCATGCGCTCAGTCATCGGCAGGAATAGTTCCTGAGTATCACCCAGCTCCCGGCACACAAATACAAACACGGGTCTCCATGCAGTCACTCTCATGTACTGAATATGTATCGTATCAAGGCAGCTGTTCATGGCTCGGCACACAGCTACCCAACATACTAATTACTTATCTATTCATAAATCATTAGGCTTAGACAAGCAATTAAAAAGCTGCTTAATGACAAGCAATAACCTTGATCGATCTTTTCAAGATTTGTTTTCAAAGGCAACACGCTCCCTATTATAGACTTAATTACTGAGGGGGAAGAGGGCACTGCATTATTAAAGACAGCAGTCATGGAGGTAAGCTGATCTGGCACTGTGATACTCTTATATAACAAAAGAACAAATGGGGGGCTGATTAAAAAGGCATATATTATATTTTCCTCTCAGCCCACGGTACTTGATGGCTTTAAAAACACACAGGTGTCGTCAGCATCTCCTCAAACACTGATCATACGCAGCACATCACAGCAGCTGGGCCCTCCACTCCATTCCAACAACTCCAGGATAAAACAGTGCTGCTCACACCTGGATTACAGGCCTATAAGCAAAAGTATTCACAGCTGGTGTCCTCTAGGGTTAAGTGGCACGAAAGCCAGCTCAGCACTTCATAAATTGCCCATATGGCACCCGCAAGAGAACCTGAAAAGTCAGTCGCTAATTATTAGCTAAATGAGGTCACACTTATCAGATCACACTTATCGATGAACGGGGTCATATCCAGTAACATACACATTAATAAAAAAATGCTTGAGGGATTTTTACTGAATATTTACCGGAAGTCTACTTTAGGGATGGGGGGGGGGAAGAAGTGCAATAAAGTGTTTTGACAGTTAGTTCACACCAGTGATTCAACAGCTCACCTGTAACGGCATCATAGAATTCGTCTTCATTGTTCATTTTTTAAACTACTGCTGTTCCCCGATGGAGATTTCCCTAGTACATTGTCTTTCCTGTAGATAAGGGAGTGTCTGTCACTCTTCAGGCTCCTCGGTCTCCACAGCACAGAGGAAGGCAGGGGGACTCTGAAAACAGGAATCCACACAAACTCCACATCAGCAGAGAAAAAATACCAGGCCAAACATACTACGCAAAAGGAGTGCGCACTCAGTGAAAACACTACACTCCACACTGCACGCAATGAGAACTGAGACCTAAAATTAACTGCTTAAACTAATTTTCCTTTCTGCACAATTAATTCTAGCCAAAGATCAGAAGGTGGCACCGATCATCCCTCTGAACCCATTACCATAACAAACAAAAACAAAATGGTATGACCAGCTATGTGTCTTCCACTTCCCCACCACTCGCTTTTGGGACACTGTTCTTAGATGGTGCTCTGGGAAGGGGACTAAGGGTGTGCGCTGACCCTTCAGGACACACAGGCCGTAGGCGACACTGAGAGGGCCATGCTGGATCGGCAGTGGAGAGCACGCTCACCCAGGGGACACATTAAATACACTTCCAATCCGAGTTGGCCTGCCGACCTTCCAAAAAAGAAACACGATTATTTTTAGCATTTCACAGAACGCTTACATCTTGCGGCAAACCCATACGCGGGATGCTTCAGGGGCCAAGAGCTTCGATTTGACGCTGTGGATAAAGTTTCATCAGCTTATGTGCTGTATGAATGACCTTCACCATTCCGATCGATTTTTCACGCCGCCACGAAACGGGTGGAGGGGAAGGAATAGCGACCGGCATCCTTTGTCTATGAGGCTCTCCCCACCCAGCGCAGGCAGCTGCACGCATGTACTTTGGACTCAGCTGTACGCAGTCAAAGGCCTGACTCATCAATGTCAAAGCCAGCTAACCCACACCCAGAGGCACAGCTCTGCGGCCCAATGGGGGAAAATGTGAGACGGCCAGCGTCTGGCCCCCTGCTGCTGCCAGGTCTCTTCTACAGTGAGTGCAAACATCAGAAGTCCAATTTCAAATGCAAAACTTCAAACTTATTTTACACATTAGTATAGCAGGGGAAGGAAAAAAAACTGCGATAATTTGCATGATAAAGGGTAATCCATTTCAGTGCTGTCTCCACCCCCCAAGGAGTACCTGGACATTGAACAACACTTTCTCTCCGGTTAATATCTTATTTTTCAGGCAAGAAGGATGCAGGTTTTAAAACATGACCCAGTGAGGCTTTGATAAATAGTGATGAATTAGTGATGAAAAATAACCACCTTAAGCAGTCGATCTACAGCCAATTATCTTAAAAATGACTTTTGTACTAATTTCTATATATAAACACAAATAAGCCATTATCACCACAAATCTATTCCAGCTACACATATCAGTCGCAATAAAAGGCCTATTTCATTGCTTGTCCTGTTCAGATACAAACTTCCTGTTCTGGGTAGAGATTGCATAAATGTCAAGGTTTCAGTAACTGGTCTGGCTTGTGTAAATCACCCTATTTAAATTCAGTCAGCCATCCAAAGCAGCTAACCCAGTACTACTCATTCAAACAGCTGGATGTTTTAACCACAGCATTTCGGGTGACACAGCTTCTCTCAATGATACCAGAGTAAAATCAGTCCTGAGATGTGAACCAGCAACCTTCTGGTTAAAAGTGTACCCTTTATGACAGAAATGTATTACTTCAGTCCAAATTAGGGCTGCACGATATCACATTATGATTATATGGCATGTATTGTGTTGTATTGTGCGTATTGTGACGCCCAAAAGTTAGTAATCTGTATAAATTTGGTGTATTCTTACGTTTAATAAACGTGTTGGACTTTAAACTGCAAAAATACTGCCACACCATCTACGTGTTTATCCACAGTCTCCTCTTTTAAAAGATATTACAGTTGTTCAGCTGTTCCTTTCTTCACCGCCACTTCAGTGCGTATCACTTCCATGATATACCAAAATAGTAGCATGTGGCGTCCGCCACTAACTAAATTTTAATAAACAGAAGGATTCACTGAATTTCTACAAATTACTAACATTTCGGCATCACAAAATGCATCTCTCTAATATTTCAGGTGTACTACTAATCTGCTTACCAAATTGTGGGCGTAAGTAAACATCCGCAAAGTACCAAAAATCCAGCCTCCAGACAAATGTTTATGCCTGTCATCTAAAGCCCTGGTGATTATAACACATTGCGATGCACTATCCTGCAGCACTAATTCAAATATCTTAAAACCCACCACGAATACACAGGAGACCAAAGCCAGAGAAACAAAAGCTGCAGTCACCACTGAAAAGCCAAAAGCCAAATACCACCAAGCTTAAGGTATCTACCTCAATGTGGCTCATGTTTGTTTTGAGAAATACATGCGAGTCACATGGAAAAAAACCAAGATGAGACCTCAGTAACTCAAAGAATACCAAAACATTCAACTGCAACATGACTGTCACAGGGAATAGAAGATGTACATTTTTCCCCATTGTCACTCCTGTATTTTGGGAAATAACCAAAATATACGGGTTCACTGAATCTTAAAAGATATCCAGGGCCACAACAGGTACTCCTTAGAGGGCTGCGGTGTCTTTTCTGCGCTCCTGTATTCTGCTTATGACTTAGTGTCTCCTGATGACATACTGACTTCCCCACCAAGAGGATGCAGTCGAAGTGATATGACATTGAGATAATTACCTGTGCTTCTATAAGCCTCTGTAAAATGAAATAATTTCATTCATGTATAACATGATTTACTTTGTACAGTAAGCAATTCTACAGTATTAAGTCACAATATCGGCAGACCTTTATATGATGACAACAAAAAACTTTTTTTTAAAGCTATTTTCTTAAGTGCAAATCAGCCCAAAGATAACCACAAATGCAATCGAGGTTATCGTCGTCTTTACTCTGAACTAACCTTAAACTCTATTGTGGGGGGATGAAACAGGAGTTCAGCACAGTCAGAGGAACAAAAAAAATATATATACAACATGAGTAGCGCATTACAAGCACACGCTGCTTCATATCGACCACAATTATCTAATTACCAAGAATTTCAAACAACTTTGAACTTGCAAACTTAATGTTAACTTATAAGTAAAAGAGAAGATGCAATACATTTTTTCTTATATATTTATACAGTTTTAGAAATTGTTTTCTATTGTTTTTATTATCTGTATTGTTATTTTTTTGCTAATCCTATGGATCCTGTCCTTTTTTCATTATTGCTGCTGTTTTCTCAAAGAATTTCCCCATTGTGGGATTAATAAAGTCTAATCTAATCTAATCTAATCTAATCTAATAAGTGTCTGTGCGAGGCGCCCTGGGCACACTCCATCACCTACGTCTGCTGCTTTAAGACAGGCATGAACCCATGGTCACATCCAACTGGCTCGCTGTTTACTAAACAGGATCGCATTTACTGAGCTGAGTCACACTGAGCAATGGGCGAGTTAAGAACGAGAGGAGACCCAAACACACCCAGGCGGCCCATTTAGAGATAATGGCACTCTATCAACATTCGGACCCGCATGCTATCAGGTGTACTTTGACACACAATACTGTACACACAGAAGGCTCAGACAACAGCTGAGGTTGCTATACTGAAATGTAGGAGAAAGATCCTGTTTTTTTTTTTATAAATAAATAAATAGAACAACCTACTCTGATCCGTTTATCTTTTTTAGAAATTAATTTTAAACATGCTACTTTACACCCTACGCAGAAGATTTCTGCTTGACATTCCTGCCCATAAAATGCAATGTTCACATCAACTCCCCGAACCTTCACACAGAAAAAGAATGTTTTTCGACAAATTCCTCAAAGTCTGAGGGATAACAAGGAGGCAGGCAAGGCAACTTATGAGCGGCGCCATTGCACGATTACACATCAGACTGCCATACTCCAGGCCATTGGAACGAGAGCCTCTCTATGAACAAAACTCGTGTTTGAGTACGAGTCACAGCATATACAGAGTTAAAGTCACACTATCAGCTTAAAAAATAGTAGGGTGAAAATGCCAAGTAGTAAGGTAGTAATAGTATATAACTCTACATGGGAATGTCAGTGAATCACAACTAATAACCTTCATTCTGGTTCCTTTCCATTATTCAGAATATTCACTTCTATTAAGTAACCACAAAGGTAGACATGCAGTACAGCCAAGGCAAAAACCGATATGTGTGCTCACAAGCAAATGCACTCTCTATCCCACACGGAATATTCCTCCTTAGGAATACCAACGATTTCGAAATGTTGTTAACAGGCTGGAGCTGCAGCAAGCAAAATCTCAGATGGATACACACAAAGACACTGTAGTGAAGATAACAGGACTTCCGCGAATCCCAGGCCTGACTATGCACCTGATCTGCAGGCAACCTCCATAACTGCTGCAGAACGCTACCAAATTCAAGTAGTGTTTCGCACCTCATATTCTTTTAAAAGCGCACAAAAAATTACACTCAATTTCAAATGAATATTCAACAATCCCATTGCATCAGGACACAGAAATGTCCCTATATAGCTCCATTCCGCATGCATGGGTAGCAACTTAAAAACTGCCACACTTCGTTATACACAAAGCCTACTTTGTATATTAAGGGAAGACTATCAGTGTCACTGAGTTACAAATAAGAATCTACACCTAATGGAAAGAAACATTAGTATATGGTATTTTTGCCTTAAGTGCCAGACGAGAAGACTCTTACCAGCCTGAAAGATTAGAGGAGTAAAAGGTTCATAGAGCAACAGAATCATGGCAGACTTACATAGACAAAATGATCAGTAAAGATTTTACACAGTGAGTACAGCAGTGTTTGTAACCAATGACAGCTCCCTGCAGTCAAGGCCCCTGGGGAAGGGTGTCCTCTGAAGCATAATTCAGCTTCACACAGCCACAGGGGGGTCAGACAATGCTTCACAGACCAGTCAATATCACCAGCTCGACTTAATCAAGGAAATAAAAGCACAGATTCATTTACACAACACGAACGTCTGACTATCTCAAAGCTTGCTGAAAGCACATTACTAAAAACCCAAACGGCACTCAGTCCTTCCTGAAGATCAAGAAATCAACGTACATCTCAACCAATGCCAATTCATAAAACGCCTCGACAAACCAGCCAACATACTGCCTTATTCATTACATACATATCACCTTGACCAAAAGCTTACGTAACCAGGAAGATTGAAAAGGCAGACAAATGTTCACCATCCGTGTAATGACTTATGTAAATATAATAAATGCAGTTTAGTTCAATGGCATTTTTAAAACGCACATAAGCAAGAAATCGGTTTAGGTCTATTGAGAGAACAGCATACAGGAGGCTTCCAAAAACATTTTAAGCTGAATGTGAGCATAAAACAGTCGCATATGAATTCAGCTGGCCACGGTTAATCTTTATGAGGAACACCTACGGGCACACGACACGAGTCCTGCTTTATTTAGCCGGAGGATTTCAAATCGCTCACTTTCAGAGGTCTATAACAGACATCTAGGTATCAAATGCGGCGTTTAATGGGAGGACAGAAAAAGGCAGGATGGCGCAGAAGAGGATCCGAACATTTTCAAGAGTCACTTTCATGTCACCCGTGCCGCTCGCCCGGTCAGGTGTACCTAATTTATGTCAACACTTGATCGGTCCGCACACGGTCTCCGGGGAGGCCCGTGCTATGGCCTCGTAGAGGACGAACATGGGGGTGCAGGGGTCGCCGGAGACTGGCTGGTAGGGTCACCCTGGATCACGGCCAGTCTGCGAAAGGAGCCAGGCAACCGAGGCCGACCGGGGGCCTACGTGGCTATGACGGTAACAAGGAACCCATGTCTACCCCTCGCCTTGGCGGTGAACGCCGCGCTACAGCCCCGGCTCGGTGCGCCCCTTACCTTAACCGCGAGCTAACCCGACGCGGCTCGGTCAAGGGGCGACGCGTTACTCCAAACACGGCCTCGGCAGCTCGTCCTGCCCGCAAACGGAGGTCGTCTCATCGTTACTTCTCCCCGCTGGTATTTTCGAGCCGCCCGCGGGAAGCGGATCAGAGGCCAGCCCACCCGCGCGCCAGCCTGCTCGCGCCGCGCGACGGACAAGTCAGGCGGCCGCCAGTGACGGCGCTCGTGACGCCAACAGCCACAGACAAGCGACCAAAAACAACTCGCTGGCCGTATTATTTTTCCTTCACCTGCAATGTTAGCGAAGCCCAGGCGCGTATTTACTCCTCTGATGGGGACAGCGCCGACAGCGGACAGCCGAAAGGAGCCGACACAGAGGCGGAAGTGGACGACCAAAAAAGGTGGGCGGTCCCGGGGACGAATCCACCGGACCGACCTATCCTATCCCAGGAAGGGCACCGCCCGACTCCGGCTCGCACGTCCGGCCGAGCTGGGGAACCGAGTCTCTATTGATAGGCATCATTTCCAGCCAATAAGTAAACGTCGTTGAGATTCTCCGCGAATTTTATTGGCCGGTGCGCTGTCAATGTAGGCGGGCCGTTTCGCTGTTGGGGAAACCACATACACAGCGTGATGGAGTTGTTTGTGCTTTGAGTTGTGTGTCAGCTATGTGGAGTTGTATTTGCTTTTGCACATTTTCTGTATTGAGTTGGACAGGTGGTGTGCTTTTTTATTATGTGTTTAAAACTGATTAAAATGTAGCATACTCTGATACTGCTGTCGTGATGATAAAGTACTGTCAAATGCAAAATGTCCCTGTCTGATACCACACTGTTGATCACAGAAAAGCGCATTAATCGTAAAGTCACAGTGAGTCGAATTCGGAAACTCCACTAATTGTTTCCAGAACATTTCTCAGAGCTTCAGCTTTGAAAAAAAAGTTACATCTGCTACGTCATCTTATAAGGGAAACCGTGATCACCTTAATAGGTGATTAATAATAGGTGATTAATAATACTACTGTTACTGATACTAGTATAACTGCTCATTTTAGCGATGATCTTGATACTACTGCATAATACTATTGCTGAATACTTTTACCCTGTTGCAACTGGAGACCAGTGTATACAAAACAAATTAGCCGCATCTTTTCGCTCCCCACAAAATTGTTTTTAAAAATAAATATCATATGGTGCATTATTTAGTACAGATTGGATAGGCCAGCTGGTACTGCTCTCTTCATCAATAATGAAACGTTTAATTGATGCAGTCACTGATATCTATATCGGCCTTACTTGTTGATGGAGTAGTATTTTCGAGCGGAGACCTGATATGACCGTGACACCATTATGTCCCCTGTACTAATCAGCAGCCTACTGAAGGATTTTAGTAATTCAACAAATGAAAGCCACTGTGTGTGTGTGTTTGTTTGTGTGTGTACAGACAGAGTGAGAGGGGATGGAAAGAAAGACATCATTGTATTTAGATTCCTTTATTAACTGTCTTTGATGTTGGTTGTGGCTGACGGTTTCTTGGCTTGAAGTGATTTGATGAGACAAGAACCCTCACGATTCTCCCAGAAAGCGGAGATTCCAGTCCAGCATGGGATAAAACATAACCCCCGTGGGTCACTGACAGCCTCCGCAAAGCAAGAGCGGTGTGTTAATAAACTGCCATAGAAAACAGCTTGCTGCTCCGTGCAGTTAATATATGCACAATTATAATCATTGTTACGACAGCATCGCTGCATAGCCTCATGGCAACCAGGAGCAAACAGCCGTGAACTTGATCCATAGAAGTGAGCCTTACAGTGAGAATTATCCACGGTAATCACACAGATTATTGGCGCTTCTGGATGTTACGGGATTGCTTTGTTTTCGACGCCCCAAACTGTACATTCAGTCTCTCTTTAAGCTGCGTAACGGAATAGTATTAAATACAATAAAAAATAAAAAATATAATATTGAAACTACCTGATTATACAGAATTAATTAATTAATCCTCGTATTTGTACCACATATTTATTTAAGAGACATAACTTTTAAAATATGACTAATTTTACGGGTATTTTATTTCGCAATTGTAACCTTTCTGTGATAGGCCTATTCGGTTTCGACGTTCATGTCTGCATTTTATAGTGGTGTTCTTGAAGTCACCACTAGATGGGGATAGTGGACTATTGCATTAAAGCGATGACGTTGAGTTCAGTTTCTCTACATAAATTCCAGCCAAATGCTTCCATCTATCCATCCATCTTTCAACCGCTTATCCGTATCCTGGTCATATTGGTGGGGGGACTGAAGCCTATTCCAGGCAGTATAGAGAACAAGGCAGGAGTACTCTTTAGATGAGATGTGAGTACATCACAAGGCACACAGACAAATACACGACAATTAGCCTAACTGTGTGTCTTTGGCTTGGCTGCAGGAAACCACAGTAACCAGAGGAAGCCCACATGACATGAGGAGAACATGTGACTTCACACACAGGGAGCTGAGGCAGGATTTGTACACCCAACTCTAGACATGTGAAGCAACCCATTGAATCACCGTGACAACAGTGTCTTTTTTATATGTTTGTTTTTGATTAATCATGAGTACAGAAAGAAGAATTAACTGGGACAGTCTGCTATGCAACTAGATCATGTTACAGTGACTCAGGGGGAGTTAACACAAGGACTAAAGATTTTTATTCTGTATACATCATTATAGTTGAACATTGAAGGAACTGCAAAAACTTGTGCCTAAAATGTTGTATGTTTACAGCTGAAGGAGATACTATTCATCCTTGAAATCTTGCCAGCGTGGCTGTTTGTATGTCTTCTAAGCAGAGACCACACCCATCCTCAGGGGCCTGTCACAGTATCCATCTCAATGCTGCAGCCCTGTGGAATTAAAGATTTGCGTGTCACACTGAAGATTACTGCAATCTAAACCAAAGTGGCCATCCAGTCTGCGCGACTGCGACATGTTTGCGTCTGGCTGTTTCGTTTATTGCGCACATCAGGAACAATCAGAGACAGAAATCATCCAGGCTCTTCAAGACGAATTCCCCAAGGGATTTGTACATTAGTGGTTACCAGTGAGGTATGGAAATGTGTGACACTTCTACTGAATCGGATGTTAGCATTGTACAGTTTTATACACAAATTAATGTTAATGCAACGATCCTTAAGTGTCACACTCAAAATACATAATGTACTTAAATGCGTATTTCCCACAGCCATGCCAAGCTGTAAGGTACGTGTTGCTCTTTTTTCGCTTGCCATACTGTCCTGACAACATAACAAGGAGCGGGTTCTTAAAATCTCATTTAACCAGAGGTAAAAAGAAAAAAGACAAGAAGGCCTGCTGACTCAGCTGTTATGTTGATTTGCGTATTGGCCGACTTTATTTAATACCCTGAGACATTGCACTTCAGGTCCAGGGCACAAGAGCAATTCATTTTCACTTCGGTTTACATTCCTGTGTTTAATGTCATGCTTGTGTATGTTTGTAAGTAATGAACTATCAGACCTCGATGGTGTCCGTCCTCTGTTCCAGTTGAGCCTCTGCCAACCAGGCTCGGCAGGCATGAACAGAATTTCTTTGTTTGTATCGCACCCACAGAAACAGATGGCCCTCCTCATAAAGCTACCCAAGCTAGCGAAGTGGCATTAGACACCAAGCTTACGTGCTGGAAACATGCTAATATGCTAGGCGAACGACGTTATTCTGCGTGTATCGGCGGCGAAAAGGCTCCAAAAAAAGTGAACTGGGCTCTTGTCAAGAGTAGTGAACGCATGCTGTGCCAAGTGGATATTTCTGGAAGCAACTTTTCCCAGTGTTGATTAATACAAACGTAATAGGCCTGCAATGCTTCAGCCCTGCAAAGGGACTGGACTATTTAACAACTATTAGGCCTAAAAATATTATACAGTGTAGTGCAAGTAGGCCTGATTGACTTAAGCAAACAAAATGTTGCATTTACCATCTAAATGAGCATAACTACTCGGTACAGATATGTTCTTTTAATGAAACATCTGACGACCTGTTACGTTATAGCTACACCTTAAACACTAATAATCAATAAGGACTGGGAGGTATAGGGTGCAAGTTCTACTAGATGAAAATAATGTAACTGTTCAGAAGAAAACATAAAACTCTCGAGGTATTTATGAACTTACATAGAACTGGTGCTGCACGATCCTTTTGGGGAGCCCCGACTCAAATTAGCGCCACTACAATCTGCTTTGCAGATAACATGGGTCAAGAGCTGCTACAGAGCGCTACACTTCACAAGAAAACCGCCTCTGTGGTTAGCTGGCTAACATGCTCCATAATAATCAATGGGTTAGCAGCAGCTATAAAGAGGTAATTACGGGCCATGTGCTGCGTTTTGCGTCGCGACACGCGAACTTCTGTCCCCATTCAGCTGTGGCCGAGATGCTGCTGACTGGAATCAGTTATTCGGCTCAAATACCAGAAATGTAATACAAAATATCAATGTAAAACCCGTCATAAATGCGACATGTAACCGCCCCATACCCGTGCAATTAAATCAGAATTTCTAAGGTCCTGCATAAGCAGAACGTTAATTAATGGCTTTGTTTCAATGGTAATAATAGCCTTTGTTTCTGGAGTTCAAAAAAATCTGTCAAGTGCGCTAAGAAAAAATTAAACATTTTACATAATTATAATAGTTTTATTCTAAGAGACACCAGGACAAAGCATCTTATTTTATTTTATTTTTTTTTAGGAAAAAACAACAATAGCGCAAGAGCGGTTACCTCGTAAAACTGCGCGACACGGAGAAGCAGGAGAATCGGGATGGGAGTGAACGGCATGAACACGCGTGGGGGCGAGAGGGAGGGGAAAGAACAAAAAAGACGAAGGGGGTCGGGGGGGGCACAGAAATGGGGGAGGGGAGGTCGCTGAGGAGGAAACCGGAGAGCACTTACTGATTAGCGGGCAGGCCACAGGGCTTCTGAATCCCACAATACATTAACGTCAAATCACGAGGGATACAGAAATAATGGCGTGTGTATTATGGTGGGTAAGCTGTGTACTGAAGCAAGAGGCTCTCTGGAACCGTGAAAATTATGTACCGGGTTTTACATGGAGTGTGTTCTAATTAAATAAGGACAATTAAACAATCCACCGTGAATAATATGAAAACATTATCCGGAAACACCTTTTTACGAATAATTGCTTTGCCCACGGCTAATGTGCATGTGCAGTAATGAGTAGCAGGATCTCATTTCTATAAGTGAGTTGCATATACAAAGGAAAAAAAAATCTAGGAAGTGGCTTATATTAAAATAACTTTGAGCGGCCGGCGATTATTTATTACCGAGCAACACCTCTAGGTACGTATACATAATTCATGGGTACCCACTAGTTACACTGCGAGCAAGAATGCGGGGAGAAACCCGAGGGTAACCTCGATTATTGTGTTACGTTTTAGGAGGGATCATCCACACGCCTCCTGTGGTCGGCGGCGGCGGCAGAGAGCCGTGGGATGGATACGAAGCCCAGTGGAAAGGATCCAGACTGCCGATCGTCACAGACAGAGCCGCTATAGCTGGGCGGAGAGAGAGAGAGAAAATCCCCCCATTCGCACACTCCTTTCTTTATACGGGGAAATCGAGGCGACAGGGTGGCTCAAGTCTCCGAGAAGACGATTTAAAGGCATTTAAATCCCAATAACGGGAAAGAACAAAACTGTCGTCTGCACCGTAACGTTGTGGATTATTTTCATCATTGGATAATTTCTGGTGATTGCAAAACATTGCAAGGTTTTGAAAAGCTGCGCTCTTGCGGTTCATCTAGGGGGGAACTTCTTGCCTTGTGCGCTAGTTTCTGTTTTATGGTTGATATTACAGCGGAATGAATGACAAAGACAAAGGTTGACGCGACTTCGCCCACTCACTTAGCCTCCACGAAAGAAAGGAGACTCCGGCTTAAGATGGACAGCGAGAACGGGAGCGGCGACGGCGGAGAGGCGCAGCCCCGGCAGGAGCAGGCGACGGTGCACACGCATCAAGTCGGCGAGAAGAAGAAGATCACCCGTGCCCCATCGCCCGCAAGACCCAAAGATGTTCCTGGATGGTCCCTGTCGAAGATCAGAGGGGGTATCGGGGCTCCGACGCTGAGCATTAAACCTGGAGGTATGCATTTAGGGAGCCGCTTAACAAGGCGCAGCCCCGGCAAAGACATTAAACTGGAAAAAGGGAAACTGTCGGGGAAATCACTGCTCTCTGCAGCAGGTTCCCAAAAGAGCGGCGGCAAGTTGAGTAAATCTGCACGAAGGAAGACATCGGACGCCAGTAACGCCTCCGACGACTCGAGCAAGGACTCCGGCTGCGCCGCCGGTAAGCTATCGCCCACGGACAGCAGCTCGGAGCTGTCGGACTGCCCGTCTGAGGAGAACAAGCTTTCCACGGACGCGCTGAGCAGCGACACAGAGACCAGCAGCCGCGGAGGAGGGACGGAAGGGGACAGCAAAAGCAGGGACCTCGAATTGGAGAAGGGCGATCGGGGTAACCACCATGCCAAGAGCCAAGCAGAAAAGGACAGGATCTTGCTGGGACTGGAGACCGGGGAGGGGAGCGTCTCTCCCGGCGACGAGAGGTCTCTCGCCTCCTTTGACAGCCGCATGCCGGTTAGCACATCGCTGGCTTTTTCCGACCTGACCGAAGAGTTCATGGACGGCATGCACGACGAGTTTGTCAGGGAGATCGAAGAGCTGAGATCGGAAAACGACTACTTAAAAGTAAGGGCTGCGCGTTTATTGGCGTGCATTGACCAACAGTGTCCCCGTCTCGCCATCTTCGGGTGTTTTGGGTATAAACCCAATGCCATCGTATATCAACACACACACACACACACACACACACACACACACGCCCACAGGTTTGTAATTATATCTTAGTGGGGACTCTCCATTCTTTTTTATGGGGAGAACTCTAATCACAACATGACCACCTTAACCCCTACCCAGCCCTAACCTTAACTTTAATGGTCCCCACAACGTCTAAAACAACGTAATATAAACTTAATCCACACACACACACACACACACACACACATATATATATATATGCACACACACACACACACACACACACACTTAGGCCTATATATTTGTGTGTTTGTGTGTGTACACATACATTCCTCCTTAAAATGAACACACTCTATTTTGGACAATTTAGGGCTACACTACGATTGTTTACATGCGTTTCGACTGTTTTCGGATATATACTGAAGGGTGCTTCATTCTGTATAGTCTGTAAGTGCGTTTGAAACATATGCTATGTTATGATTAACAAGGATGAATAACCTGCAGCGTCAAAATCTGTATTCGCGCATAGTGTGCAGAATAGTGATTATAAGCTGGAACACTGGTCGGGGTGAAGCAGGGTAACTCCACAGCAAAATCAGCAGTGTTATTTTTTACAAAGACAGTTCATAAGGCAAATGTGAGACTAACGTGGCCTGTTAGCTTTGTTGATTTGTATATTTGACTCAACGTTGTTGCTATCTAATACAGTTAGGAATACACTGGTTGCCGAAATATTTAATATGTGTTTTTAACATATAACATGCTTAATGTACAATTCCCTGGTGTGATGAACGATACATTTTTGGAAACACGAATGAAATACGCACTTACATTCTAATTTCAGTTTATTGGTCATAAAACACATTTTTTTGTTTGCGATCATAGTGTTTATCTTACCACATTGTAACATTGTATGTATATAATAGCGTTCGGCTCTTCTTGTTCCAGCCATGAGCTTGCCTTCACCTGCACCACACCTAGCTCTCGTACTAATTGACCACGTTCGGCGGAGTTTTTTCCCCATTTAATATCCTGCGCATAAAACGATTCACTAAAATAATTTGAGGAGGGGCCCATTTAAAAGATGCAGCTGAGCGCCGCCGTGCAGATGCTGCAGCACCCCCCAGCGAGGCGGATCACGTGAGACGCGCTGCAGTGCGTGACCCACATTGCCGCGCGCTCCTCGGCACTGTCTGCAATGAGTGGCCTATATTTACACCACCCCTATAAATACTTTAAATACTTTACTTCACTTATTACTACAGTTAACGTTTTTCAGGGGGTCATGCAAACACAAATGAAGGAGGGTCTGTGTAAAGATAACTTCCTTGTGTAAGTGTTCCTTGTGTATTGAGCTTACCTTTAAAATGTGTTTTATCTGTTTTGATGACTGGATTCACACAATATTGAACACATTTTCAGGTCCGTATAGGCGTGATGTCAAATTATATATAAATTATGAAATTTGTACCAGTTAATCCACACAGAAGACTATCAAATCAAAGTTTTTTGCCACTTGTTGAATATACAAAATTTCTTGCAATGAAAATGGTTGATTCGTTAATTCTGTTGTTTTGTTGCATGATTTTTATAAGGCTGTATAAACAGGCCTTAACGTTTTTCGGGGGTATGTGCAATCAATGAGAATTTGGCTTGAGAAGTTAGAGGTACACCAGTCACTGCATTACGTTTGGAAATCGATCCTTTTGTACGGCTTCATGCCTCGTTAAAGAGACAATGAAGCGGCTCTTTTCCCTTGGGCCCTTGGTAGATAGTGCACCTTGTTAGCATACTGTGCTAACAGGCTACACCTCGTGCTCAGAGCCACGTTTTTAGCCACTGTGATGATGACAGGGATGATGAAAGCGGAAGCGCGTGCCCCCGTCGATCCCCCTGTGTCTGCGCCGTGTCCAGGACGAGATCGACGAGCTGCGCTCAGAGATGCTGGAGATGCGCGACATGTACATGGAGGACGACGTGTACCAGCTGCAGGACCTGCGGCAGCAGCTGGACCAGGCTAACAAGACCTGCCGCATCCTGCAGTACCGCCTGCGCAAGGCCGAGCGCCGCAGCCTGCGCGTGGCCCAGACCGGCCAGGCGGACGGCGAGCTCATCCGGACATTGGAGCAGGATGTGAAGGTGGGTCTTCGCCTTGGTGGCCGGGGGGGCATTCATGCATATCTCCGTGGGCATGGAATTGTGGACTGAGCCAGGCATCTGCATATTTTTTTCCCTGTTCTACATAGTGTGTAGCTCCGGGGGTTGGGGTCTGTGTCCATGCCCAGAAGGTTGTGGGTTCAAATCCCTTGGTTGGAAGAGTAATCATATCACCTGTGGGCACTTTGGCATACCCTGTAGATGGTTTCCACATCTGTATATGACTTTGGATAAAAGTATCCCCTCAGTAAATCAGTGCTCCCATTTGCATGTTTGACCTAAAATGTTAATGTGAGACCAACTGCAGAAATCTGCACATTGAAATTCATAAGGTCCTCAATACTCCCAACCTACAGTTAAGACCATAAAAAATCCAAAAAGAGTCAGCATTACTCAGGAAAGCGCCTCTGGCAGGATGAATTACCCAGAAGTGAGCAGATTTACTGGCCGGTGACAGGTTTTGCTTTTAAAAACCAGCTTGAATGATTTTCGGTGCTTTGCGTGAACGTCCCACGTCTCTCTCCGTGCCCGTACAGTAGGGGCAATGTTTCAATGCAGCTGTTCGCACAAAGAGACCTCTCTCACACGCCACGGAGGAGAAAGCAGGAGGGAGGGGATGATGTCATTTCCCCCAGTCCGGCCCCGCTGTCGCTGTCCCTCACAAAAAATGGGGCATTTGTAAAAAAAAAAAAAAAAAAAAAAAAAAAAAGGAAAAAAAAGTGCAGAAAGAAAGGCCCCCTTCATCCCCAAAGCTAACATTGTGCCTCTTTGTGAGGCTGCAGCGACTCTGAGGGACTCCTTTCTCGCGTCGTCGAGTTCAGAAGTCTCGTGCTAGGCGAGTACCCAGGCCCCACGGAAGGTACCAGAAGCCCCAGATAATGAATGTGGCCCCTGAGACTCTGAGACGGCTCGCCAACACTCGGGCGATTGTTTCTCTGCGCTACTGGTGCAGCTCCGGTCAGGTTTCCGCTGTCAGCTGCCCAGCTAAAACCAAAACATCATTTAGCTGGAGGCCAGACTTAGAAGTGCTGTTTGGCCGAGGCGTCCCTGAAGTCCTGCCACAGCAGCCTGTTTAATAAACACCATAATTGTAACTTTAAACCCGGAGTAAGCTGAAGGCAGTATTTAAAAATGGGTTCATTATGAGGTAGTCTTCTGTGGGGTGACGAGTGGTTCAGTGGGTTAGAAGGCTGTGCCTGTCATCAGAAGGTTGTTGGTTTAAATCTCAGGGTCAGCAGAATGAGCTCACTGTTGGGCTTCTGAGCTAGGCGCTTAACTCCCAACTGCCCCAGGGACTGTCATTTGGGGTTAGGGAATTTGGAGATATCTGCAAAATCGTTTAGAAAACCAGTTTTAAATGTTGTGGTTTGGGACCCGTGTCATGGAAATGTTTATATATCAAGTTCTCCAAATAAGGGATGGTGAGTATGTAGTGAAATGTGTCATATGGGAACATGACCTCCGCAGGAAGTGCATTTCCTGTTTTTTTTTTTTTGTTTATGGTTGGTGAATTCCTAGCTGTGGATGTGTCCCGATGCTCTGCGCGTCTTATCTGTCCTTCAAGAGGGATCCACTTCCTGTCTCGACGCTTGTCCTCCTGCTCAGAATGGCAGACTACAGTTACATTTTATTTATTTAGTAGACACTTTTATCAAAGGCAATGTTCAGCTCAGACAGCAGCGTCAGACAGTCTCTGGAGCAGTTAGGGGGGTTAGAGCCTGGTGGTGATGACACTCTACTGACTACGGGATTTGAACTGGTGACCTTCTGATCACAGACACTGTGTCCTTACCTGCTGCGCAACAAATAAATGCTAATGTGATGGGACCCCCCCCCCCCCCCGTGAGCACACCCCCTCTCTTGAGCAGCTGGGGCAGGATCAGCACGTGAGGTAGAGTCTCCGCCTTTGATGTGGAGACAGAGGGATCGTTACTCATCCGGCTTGGCTCTGAGGCAGCGGATACGGCTGATTCACCATTCCGAGGGTAGTCCTCGAAAGTCTACTCCGCAGGATGAGGGAGACACTCAGCGGTGTCCCTGGAAAAGTCAGGGGGTGTTGTCAGGTTGAGAGGCACACAGCTGGGGGCCTGACACCCCCCCCCTCCCCCCCTCCCCATATGGTCAGGCATCTATTAAACACAGAGAGGAGAAGCTGCTCCAGTCCCTGAGGCCACGGTGCTCGCTGTGTTGCCACGACGAGAGGTAGCATTCCAGGGCTGACTGCGTGACATTTTCCGAAGCTGTGGCGGGGTCGTTCGGAGCGGTCGTTCGGAGCGGTCGTTCGGAGCGGTCGCTCGAGGCTTGCGGCCGTGACGGTTCAGGCCGGCAGTGAACCGACGCACTCGCGCACACAGAAGGCCGCCTTTCATCACGGACAGGCAGGAAGCAGACAGTGGTGTTTATCACTACGGTGACGACTCTGTTAGCACCTCAGAACAGTCTTCTGTTTCAAAGCAGCTCCTTTAGGGTGAATCCAAATCAAATTAAAGTAGAATACAGTAGTGGGGTGGGGGAGGGGGCAATCCACAGCAAATCAGCGTTATGTCAACAAGTCCAGTCACTGTCTAGAAATAGCGGCATTTGATTGGCTGAAGAGTGTCACACATTTGATTGGTCAGGCCTTGTACATGTATAAAGAGTCAGTTTGATTGGTTTACTACTACCAAGAGTCACTGTTGCTATAAAATGTAGCCTTACACTTAAAGAGCTGCCTTGGGAAGCCTTCTGGGCTGTTAATGAAAAAGGGTATTGATTTTACAGTGTGGGCTGTCTGCCACCCGGTGCCGGCTGAGTGGGTGGGTGGGCGAGTCGTCCGCCGCCCGCGTTCTGCGCCCTCCCACATTTCGGCTCCTCTTGCCCTTTCCAGCCTCCGGCTGCCAGTTAGGGAGTGAGGGAGCAGATTCTCACACAGCTGCGTGTCGCCGTTCGCCCGCGATCATTTTCAATTAGCTGGATTTTTTAGTGATTAGTCAGGAGCTGTTTTGCTGTAAAAACATTCCACTGTCAGCTGCCATCAGACTGAATGATCTGAAGATTTTCCAGCTCATCAGGATGTCATTGTCACCTGCGAGTATGATCCACCCTTGAATATCTTCCAAGATGGTATTTAGGTAGATAGATAATTTATTTATCCCAAAGGAAACTAGTTTACTCTATCTATCTATCTCTCTATCTATCTATCTATTTGTCTGTCTGTCTGTCTGTCTGTCTGTCTATCTATCTAATCTGTCTGCCTCTCTATCTATCTATCTATCTATCTATCTATCTGTTAGTTTTCACAGCAGCCCCTCATTGACTGTTGTCACTGTCTGTCTGTCTATCTATCTATCTGTCTGTCTGTCTGTCTGTCTCCCTACCTTTGTGGCTACACTCCCTGCATGTCCCTCTTATGACCCATGCAGAAACCGTCTTTGCTGCGATGCCCATGTTTAAGCTAAGGCAGTTTGATGGGTCTCTGTGCTGCGTGTCCCAGAGCATCATTAAATCTTCATTCTCCAACAGCTATATCAGCCCCAACCTCTGGCCCTCATTCTCCAGCTCCGACAGACACAGGAAATTAGGAGGAACGATCGTTCAGTCAGACTCTTTGCCTTGTGCGTGAATCTTACTTGGGGGAAATTAGAGATGTTTCACAGCTAATTTAAGGTTGATCACACACGACATAATGATTAAAGGTGGAGGCGTGTAAGTTTAAAGTAACTTTTAAGAGCCAGGAAGTGTTCAGTGTAAATAACCTGAAAGAACAGGTAACTCTGCATCTCTGTGGATAAAAGTGAAAGATACTCATGTTAAAGTGTCACGGAAGTATAGGACGCCTTTGAAGTGACCTGAGTGCACCTTTCCGTTTCTGTGTTCGGAACAAAGGTGGCGAAGGACGTATCCATCCGGCTGCACAATGAGCTGGAGGCAGTGGAGAAGAAGAGGTCCCAGCTGGAGCAGGAGAACGAGGACCTGCGGCAGCGGCTGCAGGATCTGGAGGTCTCCAAGCAGGTCCTGCAGACCGAGATGGAAAAGACCAGAGAGGTGCGTCCTGCAGTTGGGGGCCGGGGGAGGGGCTACGGCTTCCTGTCCGTTTGCCTTTGTTTGGGGCACTGTGGAAGGCTGGCCAGTCCAGGAACGGTTTTTACGTATTTTGAAGGAACCTCTCAGTAAATGTTAAGGTCGTCCATGTTCTCCTGACCTATAAAGTCTCCCCCATGGTTTTTCCTCAGACCAAAATAAAATCAGCGGCATTGTCCCAGAAATAACTTCCGAACTTGGGCGCCCCTGTGACCTCTCACAGTCCGGATTTTGCCTCCCTTCCTGATGATCACTGGTCTTTTCCGTGTTTGTCGCCCAGTTGCCATGGCGAAGAAAGTTGAAAGGTGGCAAGGAATACCCCATGTCAATGGGGGTCTCTCTCAGCCATGCGCCGGCCCTTTCTCTGCTTCCCTGGCTCGCTTCAGCCGGTTTTAACATTTAGGGGGCTTACCCACGCTTGGCTGACTGATCGGCACAAAATCGTCACTGTCTGTTCCTCTGTTGTGGATACAGAGAGAACTGTGTGTGAGTGTTAAGCACTGGACAGGCACTGTAAATTACTGTACATTCGTTGTAAATTAAGCTGACTGCTGAAACACATTACAGTCAGGAATAAAGGAACTGCAGGTCAGTTGTAATATTGATTAAAACATTAAATAGCCCTAATTTAGGTGACGTGGTTCAATGGGCAGCACTGTTTTCTCTCTCCTGCAGTTGCGGTTTCAAATCTCACTTCAGCTTGTGTGTGGAGGGTCTCTCCATGCTCTCCTCATTTGCACAGGTTTCCTCTTGCAGTCCAAGGATGCACAGTTATGGTAATTGCCTGTACGGCGCGTGTGTACGTGTGTGTGTGTGAGTGTGTAAATGCCCTGTGATGCACTAGCGGTCTGTCCAGGCTGTGCCCTTTGCTGCCTGGGATAGACTCCAGGCCCCTTCTGACTTTGACCAAGATATGGGCAGATTAGGTTGGGCAGGGTGGCCCAAATTAAATGCGTTTAACAGCTTAATCATCACAGCAGTTTGACATCAGAGTCGCTTATGCATTAGAGGGGATGTGGGTGTCGTTTCAGGCCATAACCCTGTAATCTAACGCCATGGTAACAGCAGGAAGGCAGTGTTGACATTGCCCCCCCCCCCCCCCCCCCCCCCACCTCATCTTACGTCCCCCTGTTGCCACTCCAGGGGGTAGGCAGGGGATGGGCAACAACAACCTCGAGTGGAGGTGAAGGACAGGGCAGGGCGGGGGTGGAGCTGCCTCCTGGTGGGCTCTCGGTGTAAGGACATCCTCAGTCTCATTTGCGTCGGTTTACATTTCATCCTTCCTTTTTTGGTCGACTCCTCTCTGGCCCGACAGCTCTTTGTTTATAAGTGAAATGCAGACAGTAGTTGCTCACAGATCAGCATGCAGCCTGATACCGTCGCTCAGCTGGGGATTTGAATATTTGAACAAATGTTCTAAATGTACGTTAAATTCTAACCGAAGCACAGGGAGTACTAGCACACACCAATACACCTCCAGGCGAGACGGCAGAAAAAGAAGGAAATCTTCCTTTGTCCGATTTGTCATCTTCCTCTGGTCCCACCCATGCCTCTGTGTTCCTTTCACCCCATTGGCTGTTCTCCCATTGCATTACATCATCCAATCGGAGGTCCCCATCGCAGCAATTCATCTCAAGAAGGTGCTGTTGCAGGGGAAAGACATCGCTGCTCCGATTTAGAGAACCTGTACGTTCAAATAAACCTCCCTCACTGCCGCCCCCCCTTCCGGCGGCTTGCCGTGCCCCCTTAGTTCAGCCGGAGCAGGATCTTCCCTGAATTCGACTGATTAACCCGGGTGCGGCCGTTTACAAACCGTTCAGGGAGGAGATTTCCAAGAAAGCGGAATGAAGACAGCGTGATTTTCACGGGACGTCACACCAGATGCCCCCAAGGAGTCGGCAACAAAGAGGCTCCGCGGGCAAAGCGGTCGACATGGGGGCCTCTCCCTCGCGGTGGGGGGGGGTGAAGGAGCGGCGAATCTGCAGCAGCACGGCCTCCTACAAGCTGCCTGACAAAAGAAAACAATCTCTCTCCATGGGCTGGTTCGCTCACCTTTAAAAGGTTCATTTTTACGCTCCAGAGATCGATGGCTGTGAGCTCTCAGGGGCTACTGAGGCTGGTGTGGCGCTTTTCATAGGTGTCACGTTCGGCGTGAATGTCAGCCTGCTGCGGGGGGGGCTCCTGGGCGGATACGCTGGCGGCTGTGTGCTGCAGCCGCCGCTCTCCCCTCACATGAAACCTGAGACTGCTTTACCGCAGTGTCAGCGGATAGCGCCACCCGGAGGCCATGGGAGAGAGACGCGGGCGGAGCCAGGCGCAGCTGGGTCTTTAACATATTTGGAGCACGTCCAGGGCCTGCAGAACTGGGTCATGCCCTGTTTTTCCTTTGCATATGCTCCTTGTCTGATTCTGGACCCTCGAATGCTGGCTTCAGAAACGCTCCGGTCATGATTTGCCGGCTGAAACAGCCTCGCTGATTGGTGTGAAGGCCTTCCTGCAGTGCTGTTTATAGTTCCCAGCAGCCTCCTGGGGACAGAACCAATGGCCAGCCGGCCTCCCAGAGACGCCCAGGCGCCTCCCGGCCTACAGCTCCACTCCATCGCCTGGGTGGATGATCCGCTTCGATTCTCCCCAGTCCAGCTGTATTTTTACCTCGCTTCCCCTATTAGACACCCCCCCTAACCGGCCGCCCAGCCCTGATTTCTCTCATTCTTTTTTTAGCCCCGTATCCCATACCAGTGATGCAGCGGCCTGGCTGATCGGCCCAAAAACAGCCACAAAAACGTGCCAGATCTATTCATATCTTCACCATCTATGTTCCGAATAAGGCGGCTAGATTGTATAAAAATGTGAAAAGTCACTTCCCACACTGTTCAACAATGAACTGCTGTAGTAAATCTACATTTAATGTAATCCATCCATCCATCAGTGACAACAGCCAATGAGGGGCTGCTGTGAAAACTAACAGAGAGATAGATAGATAGATAGATAGATAGATAGATAGATAGATAGATAGATAGATAGATGCTTAACGTTTAAAATGTTTAACATTTTAGTGGATTTTTTCCCTTAGTGTAGTTTTTTTAATAAACCTGTTAATATAATGCATAAACATGAGAGGGTGTTAATATTTATATTATAAATTAGCTACAGAGGAAAGTACAATTTTTAGCATAATTGATTTTATGACCTTGAAGTTCCCTTCCATCCATCCATCTATCCATCCGTCTTCCACTCGCTTGTCCTGGTTTGGGTCACGGGAGTCTTGGACTGTATCTCAGGCAGCTTTGTGGTCTAAAAACTCTGACCCTCCACCTCCCTCGTCTAGCATTTCGCTTCCTTGCTGGCCGCATGACACAGTCACAGTCATGACACAGTCACAGTCATGACACAGTCACAGTCATGACACAGTCCTGTTGGTGCCATCACAGTGCGCACCGGGTCCCCGCTCCGCTGCCCCCAGGACTGCGTGTCCCCGCCCCCGTATAAGCCATGTCTTACGCAGGGTGGTTTGTTCGTATCTGAACAAGGATCGGAGCGAAATCCTTCACGCTTCCCTTGCGCTCGGCATCCCCATGAGATCCCCCCCGCCCCGGGTCTCTGCTCCTTCGAGTGCCTTTTCTCTCACGTTCGGCTGGGCCCGGTGACCCACGGTTAGACTCGCACATCGCCGCGGGGGGTGGGGGGGCAATCTGGCTCCCCACCCCTCCCCATCCCTCTTCTCAGGTCGGACAGTTTGCCAAGAGGCATGCATAACGGTGTCAGACCCTGACAAGCTGTTGTTTTCTCAGGCACCTCTTCAACCTTCCCCCCCCCCCCATTATCTGCTCTCTGTTAAATCTCAGCTCACGTTGTTTTTGTGCTTTTTTTGTACCGCTTGCTCAGCGAAGGTCGCTCGCCCTGATCTCTGTCAAATCTGCGACCCAGAAACGTGTTTTGCTTGTTTATCCGGTTGCTGGGCTACAAGCGGCAATCGCTCATTTAATATCAGATGATTAATTAATTTGCAGAAAGTAAATAAGTCGTTTTTTTTCTGTAAATATTCACCGGGGAGACAGCAGGGAAGGTTTTTTTTATGGTAATCTGCCTTCATCCTTTCAAGCTGTCCTGAAATATCTTTGCCGTCTTGCCCGTTAATAGGATTCGTTTTACAGTCGATCCGTCGCGACTTTCTGATTGTCTTGCCACCTGCTGTTTGAAAGCTAATTACATTCTCATCGCATCAGAATATCCTAGATCAGTGGAAAAACCTTTATTCGTCTGCTTTGCATTTTGTGATGTTGAATCCCGTTCTTTCGCTGTATAAAATCGGTCGGTTGAAACGCTTTTTTTTTTTTTTTTTGTAGAGAAGCTTTTATACGCGGTAGAGAATGGAGGACGGGCTCCCCGGTTGCGGATGAGCGCGATGCCTCCCGTGCGGCGCCTGGGCTCAGCTGTGCTCCGTTTGCAGCCTGACGGTCTCGGGCAGATGTAACCCAGACAGACCGCACAAGGAGCTGAAACTGATACCAGAGCTCGTTAAATATACCAGGAGCTGGTGAAAGGAGTCGCCTTGAGGAGACCTGATGTTTTGGATTAACCCATAAATATACATCTCGCCATTAATCAGGGGCGTTTCTGTCTACTGAAAAGATCAGGGGCTAACTCAAGTTTACCTGGATCTTGAGATCGGCATCGGGGGTAAAATACTCGGAGCTACAGCCCCAAGTGATCGGTCCTAACGACGCCCATGCCATTAGTCATCCGCTTTGCCCAAAATAATATTATTAAAATATAATAATAACGATATTGTCATTAAAACTAAATACTCAAGCAATGTTATAAAAATAATAATGACATCATCTGATACCAAACGACATGTAACTAAACGAGTAACGGTGTTGGATTCCACTCAGAGGCTCCAGCGGAAAGTTCAGGGTTCTGCGTGGGATTCTTTGGGGAGAGCTGGGAGATGGAATCACCTG